CCCTCGTTTTGGCAGAGTACACCATCACTAGGTTCTGGAAAGAGAGTGGATGAAAAACACATGTTTATGCATGTCTGAAACTAGTCTATCCTCAGACGTTATGGAGAGTTTGGGTGGATATTGTGTTCCGAGTGTTATGTTCTCCATAACTGTGCGAGCAGTGTTTCCTTTCCTTCCCTTTTCTAGCTTTACTGTTGAGAAGTTTAGTTTCATTCTTATTCTTGATTCTTTGTACAAACTTTTTTGTTCCTGTTAGCCTTTTCCTTAACCCTCATGTTAAGGAAAATTTTATGATAATGTGCTTTGCTGGGGGTTTTATGTCAGATTTTTCACTTCTGGGAACAGTTTTAAATTTATTTGATAATTTCCTGTCTTTCACGTTCCCCTTTCACTCTTCGCCATTCACTCTTTCTACAATTCCTACTCAGTGGATATGGTCTTTCCATTGGAGAGCCTCCAATTTCCTTATTTATTTTTGTTGTTGTTGTTAACTGTTGTTGCTTCCCTTTATCTTTTTGTTGGCACCTTCTGTACTTTTGGGAAATGTTTGTGACTTTTAAGCTTTCTTTTTTTGATGTTTGCAATATCTTCACATATCTCAACCATGTAATCACAGATTTTTTTTTTCTGTTGTTTCAGTCTCTCTTTTCCAGGTTGCCTTTTTTGTTGTGTTGTTGTTGTTCCTGGTATTTCTTTTGTACTCTTGTTTTGGTCTGTGTCTTTCATGTCAGGTTGCCAGCTCTAGGTAATGACTTCAAAAGTGATATTAGTAGCTTAGGCACCAGCTCTTATGCCAACTCTAGCACCAGCTCCAGTACCTGTAGTGTTTGGGCCAGCTCTTGAACAAGCTCTAGAGCTTCACACAGCTCTGGGTCCTCCTCCATCTCCAGAGCTGAAAGCAGTGCCAGCTCTGGAACTAGAATCAGCTCCAGACCAGCTCCAGAGCAGAGCTAGAGCCAGCTCCAGGGATAGAGGGAGTTCCATCATTAACTGCAGCACTGGCTCCAGCAGCAACTGCAGAGCTGAGGGCAATTCCAGAACTCATCCTAGCAGCAGCTCTGGAGCTAGAGCCACCTTGTGCACTGGCTCCAGAAATAGTGCTAGGGCTAGCTGCAGAGCTATAGCTAACTCCAGCCTGAGCACTCCTACTGACTCCAGACTTAGTGGCAGCTCCAGCTCTAGCTCTAGCCCCGGAGCCACTATCAGCTCCAGCTCTAGGCTCTAGGGTCATTTCTGTCACCAATTTTCATACCAGGTCTGGCAACAGTGCCAGACTTAAAGTCAGCCCAGAACTAGAGTTAGTTCAACGACCAGCTCTAGCACTGGAGCCAGATTTGACATCAGCTCTAGAGCTGGGTCTAGCTACACGTCTAGTGCCAACTCCATTCCCATATCCACTACCAGCATCAGAGGTGGTCAGCTCCAGACCTAGAGTCGGCTCAGCCACCAGCTCCTGTGCCAGTTCTGAGCTACAGCCAGTGCAGCTCTAGCTTTCTGTCCCCCCTCGTGGAATGGCATCTTTTTTGGTTTTGTTTGTTTTGTTTTGTTTTTTTGTACTTTTCAATTTATGTTTCATACACTTGTGGTTTGCCATATTTTGTGTTTTACAATTCACATACAATAAAATCCTTAATCATTAAAAAAGAGAATGTTAGTGATTAAAGGGTCTTATTCGCATGTTTTTGTTTTGATGAGCCAGTGGAATAAGTGAATTATTTTCTTTTAAATGGTGCTATATTATTTTGCTACTATTATTAAATTTTGTTAGATCTTTTCTTATTTGTTAATGGCTTCTTTTTCTAATCTTAAAAATACAAATGATTCCCAAAATTCAGGCAGACCTAGGTCTTTTGATCCTCTTTCTGATTCTTCTTCTCTTTTTTTAAATTTTTTATTTAAATTCAATTTAATCAACATATAGCATATTATTAGTTTCAGAGGTAAAATTTAGAAATTCATCAGTTGCATATAACACCCAGTGCTCATTCCATCTTTAGCGACTTTTGCCTGATGGTCTGCCTTAATATTTTTATGCAAGTAATTCCAGATTCCACATTCCATTTTGATATACCATATCACTCTAAATCCAACAAATATGAACCTGTGATTTTCCTCAAATGTGTACCCTTCTTATTTTCATAATATTACCATTCTTCCTGTCATTCATGCTAAAAACTTAAACCTTATATTGTTCCACTTTTTTACTTTAACCCTTAAATCCAATTTCTCATCCAGTCCTGACATCTCTTCCTTGTATCGTCTCTTAATTTCCATTTCCCTATTCGAAATACCAGTGGAATGTAGGCCCTTATTGTTTCTCTTCTAGAAAGGCATATAAAACAATCTTCTACTGTTTCCTCTTGTTCAAAAATGACAAATTACTCTTCTAAAACACATATTTCTTGAATGAAGTCTTGCAGTCACACACTTTCATTGGCTTTCTCATCCTTTAAACTCTAATGTCCTTGACTTGGCTCAGACTTATATCTGCTGTTCCTTTATCAAAGATTGCAAATTAGTGTCTCATGGGCTGAGGCACCTCACAGATATATTTTGTTTGATCTTTGATCTGAAGAGAGTTTTCAAAACATTTTACTCTATGATAGTTTAGACACAGTATAATTTGGGATGCATATGTAATACCTAATATGTATTTCAAGAAGATTGAAATATCTTCTTGAAAAATCCCATGCATATTAAAGTTTCTGCTGATAAAAGAGCCTTGGTGTACAAACAGTATCATAAAGAAAATCATGTTTAAGAAGTTGTAAGAATTTATTCTTCAGGGTGTCATGGTTCTTGTTGTATAAGAGTCAGTTTTCTCTTTCAGGTGATACCACAGTAAATGTCAAGTATTCCTGAGAAATCTGCACATTTTGTGGGATATTGGTTTGCAGTAAATATAAGATATATAGTGGGAATATACAAAATATATAAAAGGATAGTAATATAAACCATTTTATTAAAATACAGGAAAAAGGGTTCCCTATAATTATTTTCAATAGAAATGATTTTAAAGTTTTAATAAGCACTGTAAAATGCAATAGTGATCTTGTCATTTAGATGAATTTTCGTTAAAGGTAGAAAATTTCGTTAAATTTTCTAAATAAATATATTATTTATTATCTAAAATAAATTTTCTAAATAAGAAAATTTAATTTCGTTAAAGGTAGAAGAAGTATGATAGCTAACAGTGGCTTTGCTAAAACCATTTAGCAAACCATAGAACCATTTAGACCTTTATAAGATCATTACTGTCCCCAGGCTTCCACATCTCTTTTCCAAAGTTGTTGATTCTCCTGGTGGGGAAATGTAGATTCATGATGCATTCTTCTGTAATTCTTCACAGATTTACTTCGAGCAGAAAATATTCACAAGGGTGCCTGGGTGGCTCAGTTGGTTAAGCAACTGCCTTTGGCTCAGGTCATGATCCTGGAGTCCCAGGATCGAGTCCCGCATCGGGCTCCCTGCTCAGCAGGGAGTCTGCTTCTCCCTCTGACCTACCTCCCTCTCATGCTCTCTCTCTACCATTCTCTCTCTCTCTCAATAAATAAATAAAAATCTTTAAAAAAAATATTTACAAGCCAAGTACCTACTTTTGGGGACCACATTTATTCTCTGTATATATGCAAAGCTTTAAAAAGGCAGTATGATCAAGAGTAGAGGGAAAGGTTGACATGGAGACTATTTTTTGTGAAGCTGAATTTGTGGCAAGTCAGCTGACTACCTCGGTGTATAGCAACTTAGTAGTAGGAAAGTCATAGAGAAAAAAATTCTATAGATGAGTGATATGAGTGATCAATAGGGATTTTTTTATGAAATGTATTAAGGAAGCATTTATTTATAGTACTATTGAAAGGGATGTGATTTTTAATTCAAAAAATGCAATTTACCAGCTATATAAAAAAGCAAAAAATCGGAGGGGGAGATGAACCATGAAAGACTATGGACTCTGAGAAACAAACTAGGGTTTTAGAGGGGAGGGGGGTGGGGGGATGGGTTAGCCTGGTGATGGGTATTAAAGAGGGTACATACTGCTTGGAGCACTGGGTGTTATACGCAAACAGTGAATCATGGAACAGTACATCAAAAACTAAAGAGGGCATGTACTGAATGGAGCACTGAGTGTTATACACAATGAATCATGGAACAGTACATCAAAAACTAATGATGCAATGCATGGTGATTAACATAACATAATAAAATTAAATTAAATTTAAAAAAAGCAAAAAATTGAAATTACTAGAATAAACCAATACCCCTTCAAAAAATGGTTAAGGCGTATTCTAAATATGCCATTGGAAGAGTACAAAATAAGCAATATGCTTTCCTAATCCAAAACACTATTTAATAATCACAAATTTATAATGATGACACTGTGGAACTGCCAAATTCACAAATATATTCTCATCTAGATTAGCAAAGAGAGGTTACATTCGGATATAGTTTTAATATTGTTTTCTCCCCCCTTTTTTTTCAAATTCAAAAGAATTCATTTGTAACCTTTTTTTCTACATACTTTTCAGTCACTTGTAATGCACGTGTAACTAGAACATTTAATTTCAAATCAATTTAAATATGTTGTATATATTTCTGATTTTTGTTTTACAGTCTCAATGAAAAAATCTCTATATTCAGGCCTAATGTTTTCTTTCCAAATGTTGCTAGTGCTTGTATAGTTGCATGACTAGTTATTTGGTTTCCTTTGGAAGGAAGCTTTGTGCTGAGAGCCTTCTGTACCTGTGTCATATTTTTTATCTCAGTATGCATCAAGCCTGAGATTTACTGGGAATTCAAAAGCACCTTATAAACTAAGTGATACAGAGCTACTTTGAAAATTTGGATTTCTTACAAAATAACACTTGTTAAAAATATTTTTTAAAGATTTAGAAATGATATCACATGGACATTGTTAACAACATCAACATGATCCTTAAACCAGATGTTACTTTTGTTTACATGCTCATTTTTCTTATACTTGGTTTGGTTTCTCCTTTTAGGAATGGCAGAATTCTATTCAGAAGAATGCAGGACTTGCATTTATTGAACTCATCAATGAAGGAAGGTAATTAATTTTACAATTTTTAGACAATTAGTCCATGTACATTTTATTCCGCTAGGCAACTGCTCTCCTACCATCTGTTCTAAAAATGACTAAGAAAATATACTTGAGTTAAATAATTTATCACAGAGCTAATTAAACTTAAAAGGAACAAAGTTTAAGATATAAATCATATTTATTTTAGGGTGGGGAAAAGCATCTGTGAACTAAAGGAACAAACTTTATAAGGTTTTTGTGAGATTTGAGCCCCATCCTACTGGGCAGTAAAGTTGTTTAACACAGATCAAGTGAACCCAGACTGCAGTCCCATCTGCCACTCCATCTGTTTTCAAAGCTTTGCTCAGTGTTCACTGCCTCAGCCCATCTCAGTTCATGAGAAGTAGTTTTATCTGAACATATCATGCTCTCGGATACCCAACTGAAAATGTGAAGAATGTTAAACATGGGGAATAGAACAGTCAGGTTAGGAATTCATATATTCCATTGTTAAAATGATGCTGTAAGTAAATTTGTGTTTGAGCTCATTATTGTATTTATCACTTTAGGATAAACAATTGTTCACTGTGATTTTTCCAATACTTTATTGGCAGTGGATACATTGAGACAGATGTTAAGTGTCACCATTTTGAGATGTATAGCTTATGTCAGCCAACAACCTGCATCCTTTACAATGTTTTTTCTATGATACAGTGTATTCTTTGGAAAACAGTGATCTATTTATTTCTTATTTGAAACTGTATTTAACTAAATCGATGATAAGGGAATAATGTTTACTGTATATAAAACTCTTTATCCAGGGAAGTGTCATGAAAGAATATTTTACAATATATTCCTTGAAAATTAGTTTATATATGGTAATGAAACCCATTTAAAAAAAATTAAATGCAGTTTAGTATTCCTTTTTAGTAATAGTTTTTTCCCATCAGTTTATTATAATTCAGAGACATAACCTCTGTTTTTATAATTCATTTTATTATATATTTTTCATTTACATATTCTATGACTGAATTATTTTTAGTCATAATAACACATCTCTAAAAGTTAAAATAAATTTTACATTCGCTGCAAAGCAAAAGATGCAGGAAAATATCAGTTTTCTTTTATAACATAAATATTAATTTTACATAGTAACGTACTGTAGTTCTTATAAAACTTTGTTGTGATAAGAATTGATAATAATTATTATCCATCTTAAGGCAATGAAAAATAGAAAAAAAATGTTGCCCAGACTATTCATTTTCATATCAGTTATAGAAATCTCTCAATTCACATACATGCTAATTTTGTCAATTTGTTTCAACTGTGAAGGAAAAAACAAAAATTATCTTGTCATCAGTAAGTCTCTGAAGAGTTAATATAATTGAATCTTTAGCACTTAAGATTATAGTTATTGTCTTAGAACAGGGAAGGGGAAGAATTTGCTAATACCAGAGGTTTTAGTCCTGATACTATTTTATTTTTCAGTGATAGAGTTTGGAGTTCATTTTATTTTGTTTTAGGAAAAGAGTTGGAATTATAGAAACCTTCAAAATGCTCACCATAATGTTCTTTGTGCCATTCTAGATTTTTGTTTTCTTTTTTCATACCAGTTGCTCCTCCAATAAAGATTATTTTGGAACAAAAAAATGAAACATGACTAGCTATAAATATAAAAGAACAGATCATGTGTGCATTAATACAGCAAATGTCTATTCAGTATTTACTACATACTAAATCCTATTATAGGAGATGGGACTAGAGAAGTGAATGAGACAAACATGGTTCTGAATTTTGGGGGAAAGGCAAATATTAGAATAACACATACACTATTATAAAGGTGCCGTGATAGAGGTGGTATAGGTATTAATACAAGTAGAAGACAGGACACTTACTCTAGACTGAAAGGTATATTCTCCAAGTGGTAGGACTATCAGGGTTTTCAAAAAATGTATCCAAGAAAAACCAATACAATAGAACAAAGATGGCCTTTTCATTGAATAGTGCTGGACATCCACATGCAAAAAAATAAATCTAGATACAGATCTTATACTTTTCACAAAAATTAACTCAAAATGGATCAGAGATCTGAATGTAAAATGCAAAACTATAAAATTTATAGAAAATAGCATAGGAGAAACTCTAGATGAGTTTGGGTTTGGTGATGACTGTTTAGGTACAATACCAAAGACATGATCCATGAAAGAAAGAGTTGATAGTCTGAACTAAATTAAAATTAAAGACTTCTGTTCTACAAAAGTCAGTGTCAAGAGAATAAAAAGACAAGCCACAGACTGGGAGAAAATATTTGCAAAAGCCACTTCTGATAAAGGACTGTTCTCTAAAATATACAAAGAACTCTTAAAATTCAACAATAAGAAAATAAACAACCTGGTTAAAAAAATGAGCCGAAGACCTTAACAGACACCTTAGGAAAGAAGAGCTACATATGGCAAATAAGCTTAGGAAAAGATGCCTGTCATCATAAGTCATCAGGGAAATGCAAATCAAAACAATGAGATACTACTACACACCTATAAGAATGGCCAAAATCTGGAACACTGACAACACCAAGTGCTGACCAGGATGTAGAGCTACAGGAACTCTCATTCACTGGTGGTAAGAATACGAATGGTACAGCCACTTTGCAAAATAGGTTGGTAGATTTTTACAAAACTTAACATATTCTTATTGCAGATCTAGCAATCGTTCTCCCTTGTATCTACTCAAAGGGTTGAAACTTATGTTCACATAAAAACCTGCACACAGATGTTGATAGCTACTTTATTCATAATTGCCAAAACGTGGAAGCAACCAAGATGTCCTTCAGTAGATGAATTGTTAAGCAGATACCCATTTATGTATGTAATACAACCAGACAATGGAATATTTATTATCTAGTGATAATAAGAAATGAGCTCTCTGGGTGCCTGGGTGGCTCAGTCAGTTAAGTGTCTGCCTTCAGCTCGGGTCATGATCTCAGGGTCCTGGGATTGAGCCCCACATCAGGCTCTCTGCTCAGTGGAGAACCTACTTCTCCCTCTTCCTGTGCTCTTCCCCCTGCTTGTGCTCTCTTGGTCTCCCTCTCTCTCTCTCTGTCCAATAAATAAAAATCTTTACAAAATAAAAAATAAAAAAATTAACAAATGAGCTGTCCAGCCATGAAAATACATGGAGAAACCTTAATTGTATATTACTAGGTAGAAGAAGCCAATCTGAAAAGGCTACCTCCTGTATGATTCCAACTATATGACATTCTTGAAAAGGCAAGACTATGGAGACAGTAAAAAGATGAGTAGTTGCCAGGGGTTAGGGAGGAGGAAGGCATAAAAAGGCAGAGCACAGAGGATTTTTAGGCCAGTGAATCTACTCTGTTTAATACTATAATAGTGGATACATGTCATTATACATTTGTCGAAACCCATAGAATGTACAACACCAAGAGTGAGCTCTAAGGTAAACTTATGGACCTTAGGTGATAATATCATATTAGGGTAGGTTCATCATTTGTACCAAATGTACCGCTCTGGTAGGGGATGTTGATAATGGGGATGAGCCTATATGTGAGGAAGGGATATCTGGGAAATCTCTGTATCTTCTACTCACTGTTACTTACTGTGAACCTAAAATTGCTCTAAAAATTGTCTATAAAATTAAAAAAAAACAGGAGGTTCAAAAAAACGTGTATCCAAACAGAATGACATCTTCACTGAGAACTGAGAGATGGTTAGGACATATAGGTGAAAGAAAAAAAAAAATAGAGGAATAAAATTCTGAGCCAACGGAATGGCGTGATACCAAAGCCTGGAAGCAAGAGATAGCAAAACATGTTGCTTGCTGGACAGCTCTTTTTAGTCAGCCAAGAGCTATTTAAGTGCCTGTTGTATACCAGCCACATAGAGGCAAGGTCATCCCTTCATGGCAAGGATCACTGGCAAGAGTCATGCCATGAAGGGGTTTGTAAGCTATGCTAAGGGTGCTGTGATATAATTGAAGAGAGCTAGGCATAATCTACATGTGGCAAATGGACTTCAGGGGCTCTAGACTGAATCTAATATGAGGTTCAGTAATCTCATTTAAGATGATGGTATCATAGACGGACTACTAGTGGCTAAGAGGAAGGAAGAAGTGGACAGATTTAAATTAACCTTTGGAAATTAAGTCTAGAGAATTGCTGATAGATTGAATTGTAAGAGGGAAAAGAAAGGATCAAAGATAACTTGATTTCTGGCTTTAAGCTGGATGGTTTATACTGTAAGTATAGTTTACTTAGAACAATACAGAAGGAAGAACATGGGCTGGGTGGGAGATGGTTTCACTGATTTTGAGTGAAAATGTTGAATAGGCATCTTGAATTTGGGTCTCTAACTCTCCAAAGAGACGGGTAGAATGGGGATTTGGATTTAGGAGTCCTCAGCTTGTATGTGGTAAATGGTAGGGAACCTGTGTAGAGGGAGCAGAGAACCTGAGGCCACTTTACTGCTTTCCTGCTGAGAATCGTCTTTCCCCACAGTTGTACGTGATTGGCTGTTTTCTCTCATTAGGAATCAGCTTAAATGTCACTCTCTCAGAGAGACTCCCTTGACCATCTTATTGAGTTACCACACTTCCATCACATGACTGTTTTAACATTTAATAACATTATCTCAAATTATTTTCATTGTTTACATCTATCTTCCCCACCAAAATGTACTTTCCTTAAGAATTTGTGTCCTCTTCACTGATGTACTCCTGGTTTCTGGAATAATATCCAACACGTAGCTCACAATCACAAGTATTGAAGGAACGAAGGAAAGAATGTTGACGAGAGTGTTTGAGACGGAATGAACAGGCAACAAAAGGGTTTTTAAGCTAGGATGAAAGGGACCACTGGATTCAGTGATGAGACTGTCCAATGTTGATTTCATTCACAGGTACACTGGTGAGTACCTGTGTGCTAAAGATGCTGGGTATAGACCCAGGCCCTGCTGCAAGAGAGCTTACAGTCTCGTGGGGACAACAGTCTTACAATTACTGATGTAATAAAT